GAATGGTGCAAACTCGGAAGAGACGACTCAGTTTCCTTCTCAATCGCCTGGAAAACCTGCCGATCGCAACAACAGCAGTACGCTCTCATCCATCTTCCTTTTTTCGGTCTACTCAACTCATTTTTTCTAGATGGTCGCAAGGAACAAGTTACTGTAAAGCCGCCCCCACATAACGCTAAAGGGAATGGAAGAAATGATCTTGCCAAGAGTAGCAATAACGATAATACTTCGGTTGGTTCTTTTGAAGGGAAGAAATGATTTGTACAGTTATAACTGATATTATTGATATGAAGTTTTCGTTGTCACCATCTGTTCAGGCGCGTAAGCCTGCTCAGAAACGTAGGCCACGTCGGAAGAGAAAACCATGGAATCCTAGACCTAGGAAAACTCCAAGTGTCCGCAACAAAGCAAATGCTCGTCCTGAGCCCGATTTGAGGCTCCAGCATCAAAAAGTCCAACCTGGTGGGATAAAGCCCTTCTGTTAATTAAATTTTTCGCAACAGCAGTACGCTATGGAGGACTTGTTTCAGAACAGAACGCAGTAATCAACAAGAGTTCACACGAACCAGTAGAAAATCCCGGTCATCCCAGAACCCAGGCAAATGCGCCTCCTACAACGCACAAGAGGAAAATTGAGGATGAAGTAATTTATAGTATGGATCACTTCTACCAAGGAAATATCCTGATGAGAGTAGTTGAAGGCAGTTGTGGAAGAAGAGGTAGACCTTATCCTTTCATTGTGTTGGTGATTCCTCTGGTGTGCTCACTAAGGATGTTTAAGTTTATCCTATTGTACATCCACATTGCCTACGCCCCGTAGCAAGAAATCAGCCGCATATCTATGAAGTCGAAAGGGACCCGTATAGAATGTACTGTTACTGTCAATCAGTAAGTACTATACTATATATGAAACCAGTTTCGCTTTTTTCGGATATGTTCATAAACTATTATTTCAAGACTGCCGACGGTGGAATGATTGGATGTGATGGTCAGAACTGTCCGCATGGGGGATGGATTCATTACCGTTGTGCTGGTATAAGAAGCTACACTCCACGCGGTACGCATTTTTCACTTTGAATTTATTACCTCTATAATGATGTGAGACAAGGAAAGTATCTTTTTTGTTCAGGAAGATGGTACTGTGCAAGTTGCCGTCCGTATTATCACGATAGGGGTAAACCAATTTATACCTGTCAGGAGGAGATACCTATTGCTATTGTCAAAGGAGAGCCGCCCGCAGAAGGCATTTACGGTAAAGGACCTTCGATTAAAAAACAGTAAAACATCGTTCAATTTTCGACCAGTTTGCTCTTTTTTTGCTCTCTTTTATTCGATTCTCATGTCATGAAGAGAGTACTATGAAGTAGTAGTAGTATGGAGCGAAGACGTATTTTTTATCCAATCTGTTGTACTTTGATAAATTTTATCTGGACCTCAGGTAATGCGAATAGAGTGAAGGTATGATCGATGGAAAGACGGTCCTCTGATCCTGTGAATTGATTATTTTATGCAGTTTGTGTAGGTTTTGCGTAATTTTATAATGCATACTCTCTCTCATCTCAATTATCATCAAGATTTTGTGTTTTGTAATAGCATGAATAATGTTTTGGAGCATAAATGTTTCTGTCGCAAGTATTACTTTCCTAGTTGTAAGGGTTGTGTTACCCTACCTAGACATATGCGCCCGGCATAAACAATGATATGGTTTCATGGTGGACTTGCTGGTGGACTGGACTGATGGACTTGGTGGTGGTTTGTCCACCAAGCCCATCAGGTGTTCCCATGACAGTAAATGAGCCAGATTCCTGGTGGACGTGCAGGTAAACTCCACTGCTATTGCAGAGAAAAGGAAGCATCATTCACTTTCCGATTTTTACTACCGTCACTTTTCTGTATTATGGATAACGCTGAATTATCAAAGCCAAGCCGCGGTAGAATGATCGAATGCGATGGATACGAATGCGACAATAATAACTGGATCCACCGCAAATGTGAAGGATTGCGTAGAAAAGCCGATGGTCGGATCCAAATTCTTGGATGTACAGGAACAGATAAAGTGATCTTTATTACCCTGAGCAACTCATTCTTGCTACTACCCCTCCGCCCATATTTTTGTTAGAGCTGTAAAATGGATGTGGTGCAGTCGGGTTGAATCTGTCGTTTCGCGGCGAGAGCGACGTCGCGCGCGAAGAATGTAGCAGACAGAAGCGGAAGCATCGCAGCGAGTAGGATAAACAGGAACAAAAGAAGTTATAGTAGAATGAAGCTAAAAGTAGTAAGCTCATATTGATCGAGCTTTATGAAGGGCGTTAGAAATGCAATAACGCGAATCTTTTATCCAGAACCGATTTAACTGTCCGTCTATTAATGCGTGCAGCCGCCTACAGTAAGCTGCCGCCTACAGCCTTGACAATATCGTGAGGACTCGTCCGCTCCTTTGGCCATTGTTCAGGGAGGCGGTCGTTTGGCGCGATGGGCGGGGTCGCGCCGCCCATTTGAGGCGGCGCGACTCCTGTTCAAGTCGTTCAGATCGCGTAATCTTCTTCTCTCCTCTCCTCTATAGATGATGGGTTGGGCTTCTATCATCTATAGAGGAGAGGAAAACGGAAGATTACGCGATCTGAACGAGTTGAACGGTGCGATTGAGGCGGCGCGACTCCGCCCACCGCGCCAAACGACATACACCCCATTGTTCACTCAGAAAAGGTGATCAGACATGCTTGGTAAAGGCAGAGAAAATTCCGTTTTCAGGGAAGTGGTCCTGTCGAACTTGCAGACAATGCGGTAAGGATATGGATGAGCCGATGAAAATTGATGGAGAGCAGCTACCAACACATTTTTGAGGGGTCCAAAAACGACACTTACGGTACAAGAGGGTGCAGAGAGCTCACCAGCTCCACAGAATCAAAAGGGTTCAGGAAATCCGGGGTGTGGGATCTTAGTTACGATTGAGATAAATTTAGGTACGACTAAGATCACTTCGCGTCTAGGTGCTAGGTGACCTCAATCGTAACTAATCTTTTCTTAATCACGCACCTCCCCTCGATCGTACCTAACCTCATCCTAGTCATGAGAGTGATGGCGAATGATGAAAATGACGAGAAAATGGAACTTCAAAGAATTCATTGTCTTTGGTTCAAAGTGTTTTATTGTCATGCAAGATAAAAGAATTTCCATCAAAAAATTCCAATAAACTGGGAAGAAGCCTGATTTTCCTGAGAAAATAAGAAGTATCTTGAAAACAACGATTAAACAATTCCGGTGGGCTTGTTCGTAACTACATAATTTGGACATATTCATGAAAGTGGTACGAGTTGGAGCGGTTGGGTAAGTGCGGAAGTATTATGGAGCGAAGACTGCGGTACGGTTGGAGTAGTTGGGCAGGTGCAGACGTAGCGTAGTACAAGGCTAACGGTGCGGATTGGAACTGTGATAGCGGAGGTTGTATAGTCACAGAAGTAGCATATTATAATGGTTGTGATGCCGTAGAAACTGTGAAAGGGCTAGCTGATCAGCCGAAGGGCGCTCAATGGCTGCTTTTAGGGTCCGGGAGCATCTCCCTGAAGACGGCATCGCGCACGCCGCACCCGCCGCGTATCGCATGATTGCGATGGCAGATTGGAGCGCGCAATTTGTGAGGTAGGGAGTCCTTTAATTATTTGAATTGGCTGACAGCACAGTCTTGATCGTCGCTTACATAGGACGAGTCATTCTAATTATCAAGTCTAATAAACATGAAAATGAAAGTGAAATAGAAAAAAACCATCAAATCTATCAAAAAAGAATGGCAATTAACGAAAAATTTCGCGTCCTATCGATTGGCGGGGAGGCGGGGGGAGTACGGTAGTTGCAGTGACATTTGCCGCATGCCGCAAGGGAGGATGCCGCAATCGGGGAGAGATTCTATTACCCCTGCTTTTACAGTCCACGATTTGGCCCGCGAGCGAGCGTCCGAGCGATTGAGGCGGTCCTTGACCCTTGTTTATGAACTGAATCTTGGTCGATACCACGAGCGAGTGCCGCCCGAACCGCTCGATTGCTCGCGGGCCAAATCGTGGACTATGAAAGCAGCCAATGACCTTACAAAGGCGAGCGCCCCAATATCAAACAACTACATCATATGTAAATGTTGTTTGATGACACAGTTGAGTGAAAAGAAGGCTAAATAATATTTTCTACATCCTACACGAGATTCCTTCTGGGGCCTACCGAATTTTTCTATTCTATATGGTAATAATACTCTTAAAACCGCAGACGTTGAAAATTAAAACAACCAACAACAACAACAACCAAACGTAACCCTAATTTTCTATTGGAATTTCACTTTCTGTCATCACTCTCATAACAAAGGTGAGGTTAGGACCAGGAGAGGTGCGTAATTAAGATAAGTTTAGGTGCAATTGAAGTCACTTCACGCACAGACGCGAAATGATCTCAATCGTACCTAAATTTAATTCAGTCGTAACTAAGTTCGCACACCTGGAAATCCAAAATTGGCTGCTTTCAACTCTATTCTAAGGGCTTAATGATTTGACACCAATCTCGGATGATAAGTGGATCCACAACAACATATTTTTCAACAGATAATCCTTAGTCATTCAGGCAAACCTATATGTCTACAACTAAGGTTACTGGATTTGTGTTTTGCATGTTTTTTGTGCTTGCATACATTTTTGCTAACTTGAATTTATCACATCCATGGTGTAACTTCCACGAGCAGATGATACTGTAACTCTTACATCAAGCCTGAGAATCTTACCTTCTCAGTACTAGCCTAATCGATCAAATCGATGTGCTTTTGACTGTGCTGGGCACACGCGGTTTCGAAATGGTGCGCGCACCGTGCGGTGGCTTGGCCTATGGTGTTCCTTTCCATTTTCCACCTGCCAAGAATTTATGTTTCTGCGGGTTCTTTTTGTTTAAGTTGCTTTTTATTTGATGTTCTGTAGTATCCGTCTGCTTGTAGGGTGTTTTGCTCCATGGAATCGCTTGGGTCTACACGTTAGGCGGATCAGCTGCTTCTTTCTCTTGGCAATGCTGTTTGCGTGTGTCTCGGAATAATTTCATGTGAAATTGTATCCTTATCATTATATCATGTGCAACTTCTCGAATCGAATCCACTTAGTTTCAACACCATTTCTGCCACCTATCTCGAATCGAGATATCGGTTTTGTAGCGTGGCATACTTCCTCCTATGGCTGTCTTAGGTTAGGAATCGCTCACCTTTGATGGATTTTCTGACAAGCTCGTTATTTTTGTTTGTAAACATAGGTTATTTACATCACTGCGAATCCGTCATATCATCAAATATGGGTGCAGTTAAGTTTCCGCCAGCTGTTACAGCGCCACACTTGATNTGACCAATGGGAAACAGCTACTATTGCTTGGAGGTCGCTTGAATGGATTCAAAAAGTGAAGGGCACAGCAACTATTTCTTAATTGTAGTAGTTCAAATAAACAAAGAGGACTCCCATATGGGTGGTGAGAATGAAAGAAGTAATCCTATTCGAGAGCGAGCTCAGGGATAGCGGGCCTGGAGCGGGCAAACCAGATAGGTGTAGTCGAGGTTCAACCGAAATTGAACTTGAATCCATCTCGTTGTGTTGTTTGCTTGTTAAGAATCCGATCAATAACAAGATCACAGTTTAGGAAGCTGGGAACGCCGTTTGCCAGTACCAACATATAAGCGGTGCGGTCGAGAACGCGCCTGCGGGCCATTTTGAAATCGCGCGCGCGCCGTGCGGTGGTGTGGCTTCTATTGTTTCTTTTCAATTTGCAACTACACAACTTCCTTTTTCTGTTTCTTTCGTTCGCGTTGCTTTTTGCATGATATTCCGCGATATCCACATACTTGTAAGATGTTTTCATCCATAAAATCGCTTGTGTCTACACGTCATGCAGATCACTTGCTTGTTTTTCTGTGCAGTACTGTTTGTGTGCACAGTTTCATGTAAAAGTGTGCACCCACCATTATATCATGTGCTTTCTCTTTAATGCTCTCTGTTCCGATACCATTTCTGCCCACCATTTTGGGCCGAGTCCTTAGTTTTGCAGCGTGGTGTGCCTATATTCCGGGTATGTCCCGTTTCGTGCGATTCTGGGTGCGCGCGGCAAATTGCGTGGCGAAATTCAGTGCGATGCGAACGACTCTGGCGCCTATTATTGGGGCACAAACTTGAAGTAGAATAGTTGGGTATGGTCAGCTGATCCTACTAATCTACTCTACTTCAAGTTTGTGCTATAATAGTAGGCATCAGAGTCGTTCGAATTATCACGAATTCCGCCGCGCAATTTGCCGCGCGCGCCCGAAATCACGAAATCGTGCGTTATCCCTATATTCCTTGTGTTAATTCCGAATCTCCTTATGGTCACTTTGGGGTAGAGAACGCTAACCTTTAATGTCCTTTTTGGAACTCTTATTATTCCTTTCTGCAAATTTAGCCATGTATAACGTCATAAATCTATTTTACTTTCAAAATAAATATGGCGGTAATCAGATTTAAGCTGGGTGTTTCAGTGCCAACCCTAACATGGGCAATGAAAAGCGAGTAACCCTTTGCTCTTGAAATTCCCTAAATGGTTCTTAGGTGTGAAGAGCATAACAAATACCTGGTATCTGGTTTGTTCGAAAAAAATTCCAGGTAACTGTTCACATGGGTAGCAAGATCAAGACGGGTAGATTTTGGAGGAGAACCCGGTGAACTGGTAGGTCTAAGCGTGCAAACCGGACCAGGTTTATTCGAGGTTCGACCAAAAATGAACTCGAAGCCATCTTATTTTGTTGATTTGCTTGTTAAAAAATCCGATCAATAGCAAGGTGACAGTTCAGGATGCTGGGGACACCGTTTGCCAGTGCTAACATGTAAGCGGTGCGGTCGAGTATCGCGCCTGCGGGCCATTTCGTAATGGTGCGCGTGGCGAGTGGTTAGGCATCTAAGGCTGTTCCTTTCTCTTCTGTATCTACTATGATTCCTGTTTTCGTAATTTTTTGACCGGTTTTCTCCTTAATTGATGCTCTGCAGTTGTCGATGTCTATCAGTACCAAATTCTGTGCATCGTTCCGTCAGCAACTTTCTTTAACAAAATGCTTTCTTCAGATACTTGGGTATCATTACAATGGATCCGAGGGGTGAAAAATTGTTTGAATTGGTGAGTAATCGTTATGTTGTCGATAGTCTTCAAATTTCAAGCAAAACCTTGTTTTAGTTCACAAAAAATCTGCGATATGTCGAAGAGTGCAAAAGTCGTCTTCGTTCGCTCAACAAGAAATTCGACGAACTTACCGCATCCGACAAGAAAGCGGAACTGGACGCGATAAACGTATGATTTAGGCTTTCTGAAACTTTTTTGTAAATATTTAGATATTAGATATTATTTCTAGATATGAGCTTTGCATTCGGGAAAAGGCTAATCTGTTTAATCGTTTTCGCACCGACCCCTTTGTAGTTAAAGATACAGTGCACGACAAAGCGCGAGGTTACTGAGCGCTTCCCCTAGGAATACTCACTTGCCCCCAAGGGTAACAGGAAGAACGCTGTCGAGTCCCAAAACTCAACAGCTAGGGCATAGTGGGAGCACTGTTCCCGGCTCGCGCGGCCTTCCCGCCCCTCTACCGATATCACGTCAGACGAGTGTCGAAGCGATACAGGTTACAAATTTTCGCTGTGGGACCCACACACAGCTGATCGCCGAGTAATGAGGCGATGTTTTCCTCCTATTCTTTTGTTTATTGTTAATCTTCTTGCTGTTGCGATCCTTAACCCATTAGCGACCGCGCCTTTTACATTGCCCTTACACTAACTTTTAATTTCTCTCACAACTGTAGTAGGAAGTGAATGATTCTTATACCACGATGCCTCAAAATTTTCTAGAAGGTTGTGAGCTCAGCTGATACTTGAAAACATGAAAAA